TTCACACACACAGACAACCAACCAGCAAACAAAAACGACATCGCAGCGAAGGTGGATGACCATGACTTGTATATATATATATATATATATAAGCTTGGGTTGGCTAGTCATACAGACATAAACATCATCTGTGTTTGATTCATTCAATAATCCAATTGACAATTCAAACCAATCTCATCAATGGAAGCTTGGATTCGAGCTTTAATGGTGATCGGCTTCATCTTCTTCCCACTGGTGGTCCAGGGCAGAGTTCGTCACTACAGCTTCAATGTCAGCATACCTTCATTACATGCTTATTTTTCATCTCATGATCCTTATAACTTCAAAGATAGAAAACTAATGAAAGATTATATATATTATGCAGGTGGTGATGAAAAAAGCGAATCGGTTGTGCTCAGAAAAGTCCATAGTAACGGTTAACGGTCATTCACCAGGACCAACATTGTATGCAAGAGAGGGTGACACCGTGCTCGTAAGGGTTGTCAACCATGTCAAATACAACGTCTCCATCCATTGGTACGTATGATTTTGACATTTTTACCATCTCTTCGGTCATTTATTTTGTTTTCCGTAACTGGACTTGTATGTGTACCGTAGGCATGGAATACGGCAGCTGAGAACGGGATGGGCCGATGGACCAGCATATATAACACAATGCCCGATCCAGCCAGGACAGAACTACGTCTATAACTTCACAATCACAGGGCAACGTGGAACGCTTTTTTGGCACGCTCATATTCTATGGCTTAGGGCAACCGTCCATGGCGCTATCGTCATTTTGCCTAAACGTGGAGTTCCTTATCCGTTCCCGAAACCAGATGTTGAACAAGTTGTCGTCTTAGGTGAGTCGAATCATCCACCCGAAAATCCTGAAACGCCATTATGTAAAATGTACAGAATTTGTGTTTAAACTTAAAAGTTGTTAAAACCCATTTTGTTGAAGTGGTTTTGTAATGTTATTAGTTGGTATTGATGGTTGTTTATTGCAGGTGAATGGTGGAAATCAGACACTGAAGCTGTGATTAATCAAGCCCTAAAATCTGGTTTGGCTCCAAATGTGTCAGATGCTCATACCATAAATGGCCATCCAGGACCAATCTCTGGTTGTAAAGCACAAGGTATACATACATATACATATACATATACATATACATATACATATACATATACATATACATATACATATGGAATTAAAAAACAGCTTTTTTTCTCCTTTGTAGTAATTTTTGAATTATAACTTTCTGCATGCAGGAGGGTTTCAATTGAGTGTAGAAAATGGAAAATCATACATGCTACGCATAGTCAACGCTGCACTCAATGAAGAACTCTTCTTCAAGATCGCCGGCCACAAGCTGACGGTGGTGGAAGTTGACGCCACCTACGTAAAACCCTTCAAAACCGACACGATCGTCATAGCCCCAGGCCAAACCACCAATGCCATTGTCACCGCCAACAAAAACTCCGGCAAGTTCATGATGGCAGCCTCCCCATTCATGGACTCACCTATCGCCGTCGACAACAAAACCGCCATCGCCACCCTCCATTACACCGGTACCCTCAGCAACTCCCCCACCACCCTAACCATGACACCTCCACAAAACTCCACCGCCACCGCCAACAACTTCATAGATTCCCTCCGTAGCTTGAACTCAAAAAAGTTTCCGGCCAACGTCCCCATGAAAATCGATCAGTCCTTATTTTTCACAGTCGGACTTGGTATCAACCCATGCCCAACCTGCAAAGCGGGTAACGGTAGTCGGGTGGTGGCGAGTATTAATAATGTCACATTTGTTATGCCCACCACTGCTCTTCTTCAAGCACATTACTTGAATCAGAAGGGGGTTTTCACCACCGATTTTCCGAGGAATCCACCSGATTCTTTCAATTACACCGGAGCTCCACCCAAGAATTTGGCTACTAMTAGTGGGACTAAGCTTTATAGGCTAAAATACAACTCAACGGTCCAATTGGTGTTACAAGACACGAGCCTTATTTCGCCGGAAAACCACCCGATTCACCTACACGGGTTCAATTTCTTTGCGGTGGGTAAGGGTTTGGGTAATTATAACCCGAAGGTGGATCCGAATAAGTTTAATCTGGTTGACCCGGTTGAGAGGAATACGATTGGTGTGCCTTCCGGTGGATGGGTGGCTATCCGTTTCCGAGCGGATAATCCAGGTACAATTGTTTAATTTATTCTTAAATTCTGATTATTTATTTTCTGATTATGGCCTGGAATTTGCAGGTGTTTGGTTCATGCATTGCCATTTGGAAATCCATACAAGTTGGGGGCTAAAAATGGCATTTTTGGTGGAGAATGGGAAAGGCCCAAATGAGTCTCTCTTGCCACCTCCAAAGGATCTTCCAAAATGTTGAGTTTTGCATTTGGAGGGTTTAATTATTTCTTCTTTTGAGCATATAAATGTTTGTTCAAGCAAATAAAGATTTCAAGTCATTTTTGTTATTGGATTATATTTATATGTTACCTTACGTTACGTTAATACACTTCTTGAAAACTTTTGCTAATCTTTGGTTTCCAAAAAACCCAAGTTCTACTGATAACTCAAACTACCACCTTAATTGTAACAGTCGCAAGTAGGGTCGATTCCACAAGGATTGGATGTGAACACATTGTCAAGCTTCTACATTTTATGTAAAATGGCGGGTGGGTTGAGATATTAAACTAAAAGTACCTTACGGATTTGAAGAAAACCAACAAAAGCTTCCTCTAACATCTACTCCTTCTCGTCTATGGTTGCTCTCTCCAAATTTTGCCAATCGGTCCTTCCAAAAGAAGGTTCCATCTTGATAACCATACCCCAACCCGCATAACCGCAACCTGAAACCCGACCAACCCGAACCTGGAGCAATCCAAAATCCGAAACCCAAAACTTAGGGCTTGGTTGCCATATCTGAAATCCAATCGCATTTTTCCTTTGCCCACTCGAATCCACCAGATGTACACCCCTAAGCAAGACCTGTAATACATGTTTGTGTTTTTTTATTAAAAAAAAAAAAGTGGGCTTGAATAGTTCAAATCAATAAAAGGGTTTCCACCAAACTAACCATTTATGACAAGAAAATTGAAAAAAAAAATAACCATTTCTACCTATGAATTCTGTTAAAGTGAATCTGTCAATTAGGCGAAACCAGATATGTTGGGCCCATCTATGATTTCGCTAACCAACCATGTCTAGTAGGTGGATTTCAACAAGTTTCCAAAACTTGATGAAATTTTGAATTTTTGACATACGCAATTGATATATGACTTTTTTACTGATTTAGTTTATCAACTGACAAAAAATGAATTGCATCAATTAACAAATTCAGTTAACGAAATTCATTTTTCTTTACATTCCTTAAAAAATGACTATTTTCTCAATTTCTTTTACATAAATGGCTAGTTTCTCGAATAAACTAGGGGTGACAATTTTATATCCAAACAAATCATTCAACATGTGTGCTAACTGTACTAATTAGATACCAATTTAACTGATACCAATTGGGATTGGTTAGTAGCGTACAAAGTATGAAAATACAGTCGATATACGGTATTGGAAGTCTCGTACCACAATAGCACCATGTTACCGACTTATTTATTATTTATTAGTTTTTGTATCTTTGATGTATTTTGTCTATACTATATTATAAATCATTTGACAAAAACTCTTATAAAACATTTTTTATGCATAAAATATTGTTTATTAATGCATGTTACTTAAAACTCAATATTACAAGTAGATTGTGCGTAAATACAACTTATTAAAGCTTCATATCTAAATTCGTGTAACTAACTATAGATAAACATAATCAAATACAGGATAAAACATCTCATTTTAAATATAAAAAATCTATTATATAATTAGAATAACTATTAAGTTCTAACAGAATACTTAATTATTGTTTTTATAAAAAAATTATTTCATTATTAAACTTAAATTAAATTATAATTAAAAAAATTACATAAAAAATGAGAATTTTTAAATAGTAACATTGATATATTCTTTTTCAAATTTTTATGATATCTTCAAATTGATAATTTTTATTCAAAAATAAAATAATTATTGTTTTCTTAAAAACACATAAAATCGTACTATAACATTGACAGAGACAAAGAATAAGACAGAACATTAAAATCGAGATGTATCTCGCTGCATTGCGTGAGTACGCTTCTAACATTAAAAATTGTAACTTCAATCTTTATGTTTGAAATTTGAACGTTCGTAAGTTTTATTTCTTCCAACTAGAAAACCCTTGAGCAAGATATGTGTAATCTGCAAACTGAAAATGTCCCTCAAATTTTGAACAAAATTACAAGTTTTTGTATATAAAGTTAAAGTTGATACAAAACCAATACCAATTTAAGTTAATATCAAGTATGCTTGGTTGATACATGATATAAGATTTTACGTATAAATATAATTGGTTGATACATTGTATTGAAGAAAACCAATTGGTTTACCAAATCCACTCTAAATAAACTACTAAAGGTGCAGGAAGTGGAACAAGGGGTTGGTTGGTTTTTCATTAAGTCTTGTATCGATGAAGTTGTTTGCATGGATTAATTTATCTATATAGATTGATAAAGTTTTTATTTGACAGAATTTTTTCATAGATAAAATGAGCGTTATTTAATTAGAAGAATTTGATTTTCTGCATAAAATTGTCCATAAAAATTTAATAAATAAGTACTTTTTGGGGGTGTTTGGGATTACTTATTTGAAACAACTTATGTTTTTCTATAAAAGCATTTATTAACTTATTATAAGTCAGAAGAGTTTAATTTCTTTAAAAAAAATTTATTACCGGTTTGATACCTGTATAAATTATTTATTCAAACACTTAAAAATACATATTACCGATATCACAACAAAATAAATCAATAAATTAATTTTATAAGCAATCTCCGGACACCCCGTCGTATCATTAAGTAGGGCTATGTCTTGGGTCGAGGTGAGGAGATACTAGTCAAAAGAAGGTCTGTTTCTCTGCGAACCCTAATGTAGCATGGCACGAAAATGAGGAACAAAACTTCATTCTCTGCCTCTCATGGCCGAATTTGCCAAATCCCTTTTCCCCAAACACCTCCTGAAACTTCTCAAAGCCAAAAAAGACCCAATCTCAGCTCTCTCCCTCTTCGACTCCGCCATTAGTAGCCCAAATTACACTCCCACCTCCTCCGTCTTTCACCACATTCTCCGCCGTATTTCACAGTCTCCAAAACTCCTACCTCAGGTGGCCCGAATTGTAGATTTGATTGAAGCCAAGAAATGCACCTGCTCCGAAGATATTCCGTTGATTGTTATCAAAGCGTATTCCAATAACGCCATGATTGATCATGCATTGGACCTTTTTCAAAGAATGACTCAAATTTTTGGGTGCGATCCTGGTATAAGATCTTACAACACTCTGCTCAATGCGTTCGCTGATTCTAATCAATTCAATCGTGTGGATTTACTTTTTAAGAACTTTAGAAAGATGGGTGTGTTTCCGAACTTGGAAACTTATAATATTTTGATCAAAATTTGTTGTAAGAAGAAGCAATTTGATAGAGCGGAGGAAATGTTGAATTGGATGTCTGAGAGAGGGATGTTTCCGGATGCGATCAGTTATGGTACTTTGATAAATGGGCTGGTGAAGAGTGGGAAGATGAGCAGTGCACTGAAGGTGTTCGACGAAATGATTGAGAAAGGAGTAACTCCGGACGTCATGTGTTACAATATTTTAATTGATGGGTTCTTCAAGAAAGGTGATTTTTTGGAAGCAAATGCGGTTTGGGAGAAGTTGGTGAACTCCTCGTCTGTGTATCCAGATGTAGGCTCTTATAATGTTATGATTGGTGGTTTTTGTAAGTGTGGGAAGTTTAAAGAGAGTTTGAAAATTTGGGATCGGATGAAGCAAAATGAGCGACAAATGGATCTGTTTACGTACAGCACCGTTATAAATATGTTCTGTGAATTGGGCAATGTTGAAGGTGGTATGGAGGTTTTTAGGGAAATGATTGCAAAAAGATTGTCTCCTGATGTTGCAATATACAATGTCTTGCTCAATGGGTATTGTCATGCCGGAATGATTAAGGAATGTTTTGATTTGTGGGAACTCATGGAGAAGAAAGATTGCAGGAATGTTGTCAGTTTCAATATTTTCATTAATGGATTGTTTGAAAACAGGAAGGTGGAAGAGGCAATTTCTCTGTGGCAGCTATTGCATGAAAACAGTTCTGTTGTAAATTCGACTACTTATGGCATTTTGATCCATGGCTTATGCCAGAATGGGTATATAGACAAGGCTTTCTCAATCTTGAAGGAGGCAGAAGATAGAAGAAATAATCTGGATGTTTATTCATTTTCTTCAATGATTAATGGATTCTGTAATGTTGGGAGGTTGAATGATGCAGTTTGCATGCTAGATCGCATGGTTATGAATGGCTATAGTCCAAACACCAATGTTTGTAATACACTAATGAAAGGCTTTATTCAGGCTCGTAAAATTGAGGATGCTATTGGCTTCTTTGATAAGATGGTCACAAGGGGTTGCTCCCCTAATATTGTCTCCTACAATACTCTAATTGATGGATTATGCAAGGCACAAAGATTTGATGAAGCATATCACCTTGTGAGGGAAATTTTGGAAAAGGGATTAAGACCTGATATGATCACTAATAGCTTGTTAATGCGTGGTTTATGTCAAGACACAAAGGTGGACATGGCTCTCAAGTTATGGCACCAGGTTATTGACAATGGTTTTGTACCTGATGTAATTATGTACAATATCATAATGCATGGGCTCTGTTCTGTAGGAAATGTTCGATATGCGTTGGAGCTATATTTCAAGATGGGTGAATACAGATGTGTCCCGAATCTTGTGACCCTCAACACTCTAATGGAGGGTTTCTATAAAACTAGAGATTGTATAAATGCATCAACCATTTGGGCCCGAATTTTGAAAAGTGGGTTTCGGCCTGATATTATCTCCTATAACATTGTCCTTAAAGGCCTATGTTCTTGTAATAAGACACCAGATGCCATTCGTTATTTGAACGATGCCATGGCAAGGGAGATTGTACCGACTGCAATTACGTGGAATATACTTGTCAGAGCAGTTTTGCGTTTTCAACCTCCGATGCAGCAATGCCAATATTGAATATGGTTGAAGTAAGTTTCTTTTTCTTACTAGTGGTTATTTCTATTGAGAGTGAATGAGTTCTATAACTATTCAACTTATTAGTATCGTTGCAAATTAGTCATTTTATTTGTTAAAATATAAATAGGAAAATACTGGAGTGCGTTGAGCTACTCTAACCATTGTACTTGTTTTGTTGCAAATTAAACATTGGAAATTGTATATTGCTCACCGTTACATATTCTTGTGTTTTCCATTGGCATTTTAACAAGCATAATAATGAGTTACCTAAAGAACTACAAGTATGATGGTTAGAAGTTCAATGCTTGCTTAAAGGACCCTCTTGCTCTTTATTGTGCAAATGTTCACTGTGGTACCTGTTTTTTGGGTTATATTTTTGGATTCGCTGTATCTTAACTTTCTGTTTTTTTGGTAATATCAATGGTGCAAGTATAACTTTAATTTAAATTTGCAATATAAAATATTCACTTCCAAGTTTTATCGTTCTTATCCCCTCTCTTTCGACACATTCTACCTTGGTAATAGAGTAAAGCATTATTTCCTTCCTGATCAATAGACTTCTTAGCTTTCTTCTAAAACAATTAGCCATGCAGCATTATGTTCAGTCTGACATTGATTACCTGGTTTTACTTTTTTCCTTCTTAGTGTTAAAGAAACCATTTTGTCCATCTTCAACCTCGATAATCCTTGCATTTGATGCATAATTGGTGTTAACAATTTGTGTTGACGTATTGTTGGCATGAAGTAAGCTTCTTATCTAAGTCAAATAATTTGCTCATATCAGCTATCTTGCAGATGTATATAAACCAAACAAAACCAAACCACCCGAATATATCCTAACCAGTGGTGAGGCCTGGGGTGGGATGTAAGCAGACATGACCCATATTGACATTTCTAGTGTCAATCTGGCTACTTGCTTAAAGATTAATGCCTAGATGGAATACTGGCCTCATGCATCTAACGATGATGGAAGATGAAGAGCTAGGTAGATCACAGATATACGTCGTTGGATCTTGGTTCTTCTATTCCCCATATAAAAGGTAATTTTGCACCACTTATTACAACTATAGTGCAATAATGTTTATATACTGTAATATTACGAGATTACTTTTTATATGACTAAAGTTTTTGAGTTTTCAATGTACAGTTGAAGTGCATGGTATCATGCCTGGAATGTCACACCTGCATTGGTGTGCAAGAATGAACCAACAAATTCAACCCACATCATTGGGATATGAATATTGAACTTGTTACAGGGTTTCTATCAAGTGTTAGCTTCATTCTGTCTATTTTATTAATTTAGATCTAAAGAATTGTATCTAGGTAAAGAAAAAAAATGGAATGCAGCATCAAGTATAGCAGGTTGTTGGTCAGAGAGATGCTGCCAATAACGTATACTGATGCCAAATTGAAGTTGTATGATATATAGTCCAAAGTAGAAAGGTGAATACTTTGGGTTATCTCTCATACTATACTGGTTTTTATTGCCAATTTCCGATATAAACGTCACTCTTTCTCTTCCATTTCCTTTGATGTGTAATTCATCCAGAGAAAACAAAGAAGTCAAACATTTATTTTGTGTTTTCCTTGTACCATTGAAGAAAATGTTAAACCTTTTTGAGCTATACATTGTTCAAACCTTGGTTTCTTTATCTTTCTATACTAGCATCATCAATTTCAAGTGGCATTTTGGTGATTCTACATATATCACCAGAAGTACAATGATGCAAAAGCTAGTAGCATGACATATCAGTCCGAAGAGTTGAGATCATACTTTGGGTTATTCACCATGCAATATGTATACTTGTTGAAAGTTGCTAGTAAATTAACATCCAACAACTAGAATTATAAGAAAAGCACTTCACTCTTTCTTTTTCTGGTTTTTCTCACTTTCTGTGCTCTGTGTTTCAGATAACATCTTCTGCTCGTAGGTCAATTGTGTAAGCAACCCGACCAAAATCAGCCCAAGAACCACGCCTTTTCTCCAATCAAATGACGGAGAGATCAAGGACTCGACTATGGAGATGCTAACCAAGCCGATCAACGCAAGGTAAATGTTCCTCCTAGTTTCTGTTCCTGCAGTTTGTTTGTTCAACTCGTTCATCTTCTGGGCTGCTGCTTTTGCTATTGATTTATCAACGGGCTTACTCTCCCCCAAGCTCTGGAAGAATAGCCCTTCGTTTCTTTCATTCGCAAACCGATTTTCAAACTCGTCCAACTTCTTTTGGTTCTCCTCTATCTCCATCTTGCTTGATTCTGCCGATTCTTCAAAAGCTTGCATTTGGCTTTCTATGTTCCCCATTATCTGTGAATAAAAATGAAGAAAGCCCGAGTTAATGCTTAGATTATTGCTAGCTACGCCTATAGTTTGCTCAGTTCATGTTGAAAATTGAAATGATGTTTTGCATTACACAAATGGTGCGAGAGACTATAGGAAAGAAATACGAGTGCATTCTGTAGGTGGAACAAAAATCAGGGAGATGGGACAAGACAAGATAGTTAAATTCCTGAACCACCCTGTCAAATTAAAACCTAAAACCTTCCATAATTTTTTCACATGTCTACCTCACTCTCGCCCATTCAGTCATGACCGTGTACCAAACGCACCTTACGTGAATTAGAAGTATGTTTAGCATATTAAAAGATTGAGCATACCCTGGCACTGGCTTCCTCTAATTCTTTAAGGGCGTTTTCGCCAACTTGGTCAAACTCGACATTGGCTTCTTCAGCAAATTGGGTAAGATAAGCAGATCGTTCATCCAGATAATCTGTGAGACGGACTTTTTGGGCTTGAAGCATGGCAATCCTTGCAAGGAGGTCCTGCTTCCGTTCATCACCTTCTGATGGTGGCGGTGATGATGATGGTGAATTGGTGTCGGAATCTTTCGACTTACAGAGAAATAGCCTTGAGTGGTGGTGATTCTTGGTGGAGAAATCTGTTTTGTGGAAAATCTCATGTTTTGTGGTAATGAAGCATGTCTGTATGGCTTTCAATGAAATCATGGTTTCTGGGTGTGTTTCAAATGGAGAGAAAGATGTTGGTTTGGAAAGAGAAGTCTTTTAAACCTCTTATTTGCTACATTATCTTGTTTTGTTTATTTTCCAGAGCAATTATTACCAAATACAGAACACCAATGATGTGATTTGTTGTACCTTGTGGATGAGAAATTGCATTTTGGTTTGGCTTTGGCATTTGTGGACCTGGAAAAGGACTTTAGCCTAAGTTTCAATGTGTTATTTTCACACTTTGTTGCGTGTCGTGTATGATACGAGGGTTGGGTGCATACATGGCGTTAGTCCGGACTCCGGACTAAACAGCACAAAAAAAAAAACCTTCAGTCTAATTCGGACCGAAAGAAACCTGGTCTCAGTGGGCTTGGGCTTGGGCCCAAGCCTGGGCTAGGCCAAAAAATTCAAGGCCCAACTAAAGTCCAACCTAAAAAAAGTCTAGTCTGGAAAAGCCTTATTGGGCCTTTATTTTTTTACTAAAAACAGGTTTGGAAGGCCCGAGCTATTTCAGATCTAAAAGACTGACCTAGTAGGGATATGTTATAAAACCGGTTGGGGTTGTTAATCTGTGATTTGGGTTTCATGGTTCTTTTAGTCTGATTATATTGGGAATGATCAACGGTTGAGATGAGATTGGTTTAATATTGGTCTTGAATCGGTTTCAAGACCATTTTTTGCGCAAAAAAATGATCGAACGGTCATTTTGAGGGCCGGTTTCGGGCCCTAATTTGTAATTTTTTTTATTTAGTGATTATATTTTGACTATTTTACGATTGTTGTATTATCTTTGTAAAAAAAATATCAAAACGTGGTTGTTTTGTGGTTCATTTCAGTTTCATCACATTCGTAATATATAGTTTTCACCATTTCTGAAATTTTTGATGCTAAAACAAATCGAACATAATCAGTATATCATGACAGCTACTGACGCGTTGTATTATTGATAAATACGAATTCTTATTTAAATTAACAAAACAACACCGAACATGTTGTATTACTGTTTTGAATAGTTAAACATAAAATATAGCTTATTTAGCTCCGTTTTCACATAAAAAATTTAAAACTATCCCATGTACTTACAATTAGGGGTGTATGCGGTGTGTTTGGTGCAATTTAGAGCCAAATTGCACTGCATAAGTACTTTGAAGTTCTTTTTAGAACTGTGTTGCATATGTTCCAAACCGTGAAAGCGCAATATGGTGTATTTATACGGTTTGTACTAACGCATTTCAGTACAGTAATTATAAAATCACAACATCAAAATGAAATCGACAATTACATTTCCATATTCTAAACAATAAAAAGTTTCAATACTTCTGAAATGCGTAATTAAAAATAGTGTAAATAAAAGAGTTCCATGATTGGTCTAAATACATCTAAAAAGTAAGATTTAAAATAAACTCAGACGATAACGTGTGAGAAAGACAAGAAAATAACTTAAATAAAATATTTGTAACGTACAATTTCAAAGAAAAACTGAAAAATCGATAATAATCAATAATGTATTAGTTATTTTCAATTAGGTAACGGTGATGTGTATACATATTGATTTTAAAAATATATAAACGTGTGTGGGGCAGTATAATTCGGAACCACAGTGCGTTAATTTAAGACAACAAAAATTTGAAAATAAAGGATCAAAAGGACAAAAATATGGTTAAAATAGGTCATATTATCGTTCCCAATGGTCAAAAAACGGTAACTACTTTTGAAAAAAATAGGTCGGCTCTAAATGGGCCGGGCCGGGTGAGGCCTTGTTTTTAGATGAAAAACGTAACCGACAGACTATAATCGGTCCCTACCTTGGGCAGCCCCTGGCCGGGCCCATTTAACCATACCTACTTACAATGATAAAAATCCATTTGTAACCCATTGGGCTTTATGTTTTGTTTACCAATAAATGATTGGGCCACTTTTATGGGAACCATATATAAGTTTAAGCGAGGGTAAATCGGTAAATATACCGGTGAAAAATTTAAACTTGAAGACTGGTAGTTGTTGAATGGTTTGATGCAAAATGATTAAGGGGCTGTTTGTTTGGCTCTTAATGATTACATTAAGAGGAGACCTCTTAATCGGTAAGAGGCAAAGACTGTTTGGCAAAAAAAAATTAACCTCTTAATGGTTACAAAAGCCTCTTAACCATTATGTGTCCAAGGCTCCACTAAATGGTTCAGATCCCTATTGTTCCAAAATTACCCTCTCTTCCAGTCGCTCTTCTTCACAGCGCATCCCACGTATCGCCTTCCCTCCATCGTTGTTCGCCTGTCTCCGGTCGCCGCCCCTACAACGATAATCCCACAGTCGCCTACTGTCTCCTTCTGCCATCATCCATCTGCTTCCACGGTCGCCGTTCCCCTTCATCTCCTTCAACGGTCGCCGTTCCCTCCATCTCCTTCGACGGTCGTCGTTCGCTTAAGGTATTTCCCTAAAATCGATCTCCTCGCTTCCCTACATCTGCTTTACCGTCTTCTTCAATGTTTATATTTAAACCTTGCAATCACACGATGAGCTTTCCCTAAAATCGATCTCCTCGTTTCCCTACATCTGCTTGGTTTCTGTCTATGTGGATACATGATTTTAGGAAACAGTGGTTTGTTTCTGTCTATGATGCTTCATTGATGAACTTCTTGATCAAGTGATAATGATAAGTGGTAAAGGTTGGATGCCATTCTTTCTTACTAGCAAGATATCATCAACCAAAATAGATGTCCAATTTATATAGATACTTGTTGTCTAGCAGAAACTAATCGAAAGCAAAGCAAAATCAGTTGCAAATAGGCAGAGGGTTAAAATGGTAATTTGTTGTCATTCAGAGAACAGTTACCAAACAACATTATTTCATTCAACACTTAACTATTCTGACCATCTTAACCATTCTGACCACTTAACCATTATGCACCAAACCATTCAGCAACCGCCAAACAGCCCCTAAGTGGACAAAATGATTAAGAGGCTCTTATAATATAGTACAAAATGAAATGTAATTGTTTGGTAATTATTCATAATGAAATTAGGGTGCTAAATGTTAATGGAGACCCAAGATACAAAATTATTCAGAGGATTTTGATACCATTAAGAGGCAGTCTTTTTTTTGCCAAACAAGATTCACCTCTTAATGAAACTATTAAGAGATAAACAAACAACTATGACTCGGTATTTTATTATGAAACGCTTCGATAGCTCAACATGATAAGTTCTTGTGTAAGGTGTATTGGTTCTTGTAAAAAGATCTGTTTTAGAGCTTGAGCTCCAATATTTTTTGAATTATCGAACTCGAGTTTGATGCTTGTTTAACGGTTCGAATCCGCAATCGATTAACTCATTTACTGGTTTAATCTTGATAATATGTATGTTTTTATTGTATTATTTATGAACAAGTTGAGTCGAACATTGTTGTTATGAAGCTCGGGTTGTTAATTCCAATGTGTTATTTTATGTTCGAGATTAACTCCAGCTCAAGAATTATTAAGGTCGAGATCGAGATAAATAAGCTCAAGCTCCAATAGCTCGTTTGAATCTCGAATCATTTGCACCCCTACTAATGATGTTTGGTTGAGCCCATAATATTCTGGGTGGAAAAAAATTCAGTATTAACCATCAAAACTGAACTTGATATATTCATTCTATTACTGGTTCTAGATTCTCTTAAGAGTGGATTAAACTGGTGGACCTTGTGGTATGCTTAAATTGTAGACCAGGTCTCTAAAACAAATTATCCACATTGATAGTCCTTAACTTTTCAGTTTCATCACACTTAAGGTCTCTAAAAGTTAACATCGTCATTTAACATCCATTAGAACGAACAAAATCAGTCTTTGGATAAACTGTAAGCACCAAAAGTTTAATTCACTCTAAATTTAATTGTGTATATATATATATATATATATAATATTTATTAAAAATGATTTTAAGTATGGTTAACGTAAGATAGATATATAATATTTTTGTTGATTAATCTGGATATCCAACCTGCTATGCAATCCGACTAATCCTAGGGCGACCACCTGCTTTGCAGATAGCGCAGAGTCACCGTATTTGAACCTCCGTGGCCACAAGGGAACTTTTATTCCTCCTTAGATTTGAACCTGAGACCTCCTGGTACTTTTGACTTTTGGAGCCAAGCTCAAACCAATCAGACATTACTCTTACGGTTATATAATAAATTTATTCGTTAAAATACATAATTTTTTTTGTTATGAAAAAAATATTTGCATTTTAAAAGTTAAAATATCATGAGACGTTATTAAATTAAATTATCAAATAATTATGAATAAATTATAACAATTAAATTGGTTATATAATAATCAAAATATATTTTTTTGTTAATCATACTTCAAATATTTTTAATAAAGAATTTTTTTTAAAAATAGGAATCACAATTAATTTTAGAGTGAATTACAGTTTTGATCCCTATAGTTTGCCTAAATATTGATTTGTTCTTTCTAACGATTGCTAATTGCTGGTGTTAACTTCAGGAACAATGAGTATTATGAAATTGAAAAGTCAGAGGCTATCAGTGTAGACAGTTTATTTTAGGGTCCAAATCCAAGTTGAACAAACCATAGGGACCACCAGTGTAATTCATTCTTTTCTTAAAAACCAATTATTGGTTCTATGTTTTTTGAAATATCGCTTCAACGGAGTCGATTATGCCTCGTTTTTTTTCTTTTTCAAAAAAAGAACAACGTCATTTTTAGCTTTATGTTTTTTAAATAGTTGATTCTGAACAAGAAATGCTCGAGGTAAAAGAAATAGTTCCTTTTTAGGTAAATTCTATTCAAAATTAAAATATTTATGCATTAATAATCTGTACAAAATGTTTACGGTATTGATTTTAATTAAACAGATTGTAGCGGAATAAAACTAGACTGCCAATAAAAATCTAAACATCACATTATCCGGTCAAATATTTGATGGCAGAACATAAGGTTATTGCAAAATTTGGTCTGGAACAATAACACCAAAGAACCAATTTGGTTTTATTTGATTTGATTCTCGGTTTCATATTATCTAAATACATTCTCACTTCAACTCAGGGGTCTATCAGTTTAGGTAAAATATTTAATGCGTTTCTCGACTGGATAAATCATTTTTGGAGGAGAAACTATGCGTTTTTGGGATTTTTCATGCTCCTTGTTTAGAACCTCTAACGAGTCCAAATGGGTTGGACCTGATTCGGCTGAAAAAAGAAATACAACTTTAGTAAGAACGTCGTTTCGCATAATATATGATTCATGCTCTTTTAGGTTCTTTAAATTTCATGGGTGGAATAGCTACTGAGATCAATGTAATCAGTTATGTCTCTTCTAGAAGTTGGTTAGCTACTGCTCATTTTGGTTCTGTAAAATTCTTCTTCTTTGTGACACACAGAAAGGGCTCGCAATGCAGTAAGATTTGAAAAAGGAATTAATCATGACTGTGAATCTGTTCTTTACACGACCCCTCTTAATTGAAACAGGAGATCCATGAGTTGAGTTCACTCTGGTTCTATTTATTCTTTTAATTTTCAAATTTGATTTAAATCTGTATACTTAAATAAAAAGACCAGTAACATTATTTGGAACTTTTTGTTTTAATTATGTTCTCGTTTGAACGCTGACTAAGATTATAAGATTTTTTGTTTTTAAAATTAAAAAAAAATTGAAAAAAATATTAATGGTGAATGATAAGACAAAAATAGAGTACAAATTACAAAGGCAAGTCATAGGGTTTTGTGCCCCCTCTCTCTCTCTTTAAACTTTACCTTTTCCTTTTTCTTTTTCTTGAAGCATGTTGGGGTGTTTTCATTGTCACTTTTTGACTTTATTGTGATCAAGATCACATAGTATATTTTGATCATTGAGCTTTTATTTATATATGTTCATATATATATATATATATATATATATATATAGGAGCGATTAATGACTTACAGTTTTGAAATTACAAAATAGTCGTCGTAATTTGCAAAAAATAACAACTGTATTTGATCCTTCTCTCTTTAACGATCGTTAAAGATTTTCGATAAATGAGGGGGTTTTCACACTTTTATCTGTTTGTTTGTATTTAATCTGATAAAAACCATATGGATCAAAATCATAAAATCGATTTTGATCGTGTATAAACATAAAAAAATGATAAAATGAAAAAAAAAAAAAAACTCAAGATGGTTGTGATTCACAAACATAGAAAAAGAATCCAAGAAAAATAAAATTTTGATTATATTTTAATTATTATTGTCAAGTAAACCTTGATTGTGTTTAATAAATGGAGATGTTATATTTTTTTAATTATTTTTTTTTTTTTGAAATTTGTTCTCTCTCTAACGATCTTTAAAAAATCCGTTAAATGGAAGGCATCCTTGGTATTTTATTGATTTTTTATGTCTTTTACGCAATCAAAATCGATTTTATGATTTTGATTCATGTGATCTTCGATTGGATAAATAACAAAGAAATCGATAAAAGAACAAAAATCCTTTATTTAACGGAACTCTTTAACGACCATTAAAAAGAGAGACCAAATCCAGACATTTTGCAATTACGATGATCATCTTGTAATTTTAAAACTATAAAGACAAAAAGTGTTATTTACTACAAACTACAAGGACCAAATTTATAGTTTACCCTTAAATATATTTAGTTTAGAAATGTCTATTTAATTGTTTATAGTTCAAATAAATGTGTTTTTTTTAGTCGAAAAAGCTCTCGTTCTTAAAAAAAACACGTCAAATTTTACATATATCACATAAGCATTCTTAAATTAAAGTTTGCAATTTTCGATTGATAGAATCTTATATACGTCTTTTAAAAATATTGTTCTTAAAATATAAATCAGATAATAATATAAACCATTTACTTAATCTTAGATTATTCTATAAATTCATATTTTATATTTAAATTTATGTATAAATAACAAAAAAAAAAAGATATCCAAGAAATTATTGTGTTTGATTTGGTGGGAATGAGATGTCTCATTATCAAAAGGGTGGAGCAAACTTGTGCCTCCTAAGACAAACACAAAAAGCTCTGTATACACAATCTATGTTTAATCCATATTATTCTCTACAAATATTATTATATATGATTCAGTTATTTTAAAAAGCGGTAAATATTTAAGAATTAAAAAAAAAATGATCTTAGTCCTTTCATATGGTCAAGATTGATTTTTACTGATTAAAAATTACGGTTATTTGAAAAATAGAGGGGGTAGTTTTGTAACTTTTACAAATAAGCGACAAACGGATTCATATGTGAACTCGTGTAATTAACATATGAACCTGTATGATTTACGTATGAACAAATTAACTGATTCATATATGAACCAGTCACGGACACAGTCGTCCACACACCATTAGGTTCCTTCATCACATTTGAGAAAGGTGTTTTTGCCTTTCGTAAAAAGAAGATATCCTCGTTTGAACTTCCATCTGTCTCTCTACATGCAAATCATGCATCCTAAGAGTGGTGCTTGGCACCGGTGCCTGAAGTCGAACCCAAACCTCAATCATTTTGCAAGAATATTCACTTTCTTACCCACTAAGCTTCCACGAGGACATGACATGGTCTCAACCTTTCCACATTTGTATAAATCTATTCACTTCGATTTATATAAATGTGTCCGAATCGATGAATTTTTAAAGGATATAAGCAACTGGTTAATGCCGAACAACTAAACCACGGGTATTAAAAAGAAGTGTTTTTTTTTTTGGTGCGTTTTGTTACACAATCAGCAGCAGTACAAAACGTTACAAAAACGCAGTTTTTTATCCCATCAAAATAAGTGGCACAAATGTCATAGATAAAACCAAAACAGGTAAATTACTAAACTACCCATGTCAAACTATGGAGGAAAAAAACACAAGAAAGAATGTGCAGAACAACAAGAAAAGAATTTTGATGTTATTCATTTAAAATGAAGTGGCAGAGCATGCTAATGAGAACTAACACCAAGCAATTAACATAATGGAATGGGAACCCAATTAACCAACCAATTTTAAGATACATAAAACATAAGCAAACATGTGTTATTACAACATGAAATGCAAGAAAAGACGATCGACCTTTTCGGGGTTTCAGTATAGCCCAAGCATGCTTCTGGAAATCGAATGGGAATTAGTCGTTGGTCTACTTGTGATCCCAATTCCACCTCTTCGACTGCCGCTCATTGGCGCCAAATAGAATCGTAAAAGCCCGTTGTCGATGTGGGTTGGCGAGTATCTTGCACTACGATTCCGTTCAAGAACAAACTCTTCTCCGTTTCTCTTGTTCTTGCCGTTCCCAAACCCTTGTTCGTTTCCCATGATTTTACCATTCATCTTAGAGTTCGATTTCCTCGTGTTATATGAAGAACTTCTCCAGCTGACGCTACTATTGCTTCGAAAGATTTTCTTGTTAATCCCACCATTTGCTTCGTTATTGCCTTCTCCCCGTAAATCTTGCCAAGATTCTGAGTAAGATCTTCCCACTCCATTAACACTACTGCACCGGTCTTCATCATCGTCTTTATTCCCTGAATTCCGGCGGTGGATAAACCCCCATATCTTCCAGCTCCACCGGCGGGATTTCTTCATCTCCTTCTTCTCTAACCCAATTGCAGTCCCAATCCCATTATCCCTAAATCCCAATTCAAAAGTTTCTGAACAATCATCTCTCAACGAATTTGAAGCTGAAACCCTTGGGGGTTCGTTATCAAAGGTTACGCTTGCAAACTTTGAACTTCCATGAACAGGATTGTTATCAATGGTGGCAGGTGAGACTTTGGCATTTGAAACAATTGGAGTCACCTTTGTTTCATCCAACTCTGCAACTACAGCGGCAGCCATTTTTCGAATGGAATTGGATCTGTCAAGGCTCTTCCTCCGTTTAGAGGAAGAATCCAGATAATATTCTCGGGTCTGGGTTGACCCACCCGGGATATTATCGTCCGCCATCGAAGGATCTTCAACAGGGATTTGCGTATCACAACGAGGGACGTGTACAACGGGAACATCTTCCACCATGGGAGGCAGCCGTGGGAAGGTCCTACCAATCAAATATCCATCCCATGAAGCCCTAGGCTCGTCAAACGAGTATCTCGGGTCATCAAACGACATCCGACCCGCATCCAGTGAAAACCTAGGGTCGGTGTCGCACGATCGCCGTCCGAAACCGTAATCGGCGATTTCAGACTGAGTCTCGCGGTATTTACGCGAAATCGGTTTCTTCGGCGGCAATGTAGCCGTTAATATGACGCCATTACTAGTGACGCCACTCTTCTTCTGCTTTCTTCTCCATTTATGCCATTTCTTGCTCAAAACAGACGCTGCTGACCAGAGATTTGATAATGAGGGCTTTTTCGACTGCGAGTCGAGATCTATGTGATCCTTCATTGGCTTCAAGACTTCGACAGTTGCATCCTCTTTTTCATCAATTTCAGCCACCTCTTCCACAATGTTGTTGTCTAAATCATTCACACTTCTCACGTCTAGTTCCTCAGTAACCCTAATTTCGTCGCCATCATTGTCTTCGTTGTGAACTGGATCTTCTTCATGATCTTCTTCGTGATCTTCTTCTTCGTTTTCTCTGTTGGTTTCGAGAACGATGCCGTTGTTGCCTAGAATTTGTTGTTGAGAATAGGAGTGCCTAGGTTTGTTATCGTCGTGGATTGAGAAGAGTGACCACAGAGTGTTCCGTCCCCTGACGTCGCAGGACTTCCGTTGAGGCTCATAAACACAAGCCGAGATCGATAGTCCTTCATTCTTCGAAGCGGAGAAAGATTTGGTTCGTCGGAGCTCCGGTAAGAACGAATTTCTGGTTGTTGTTGTTGCTGCTGCTGCTGCTCTTGTCGTCGTCGTCTTGCTTTTGTTTGCTTCTGAGATATTGATGGAAGAAGGAACTCGAAAAATAGCCTTAATTGCGGCAGCGGCGGTGGATGATGATGTAGAGTTACGTCGGGAAGAAGATGAAGCAACGGCAGCATTGGCTGACTGATCTAGAGTAGTGAGACGTTCGCAGAGGCATGATGGACAGAAACCGGTGAAGTTCTCGTCAGGATGGCGGTCACAGCTGAAGGATGATCGTGGTGGCTGCAACGGCAGCACCGGCGGCGGTTGGTCGGCGATGGCGGTGGGATTCATCACAGGCGGTTGTGGTAATGGTTGTGTAGTGAAGTGCACACTCTGCTCATGTTAGCAACAGTGAAAGAGAAGTGTTTAATGTGAGAATGAAAGAGTTTACGTTTTCGAGAGTTTTTTTTTCCATGGAGAGTGAAGGGATTGAGAGAGACAATTGAATTAAAATATATATTTTATTTTATTATATTTTTTTAAAAATAAATAAATAAACAATTATTTATTTAATTTGTTATTTTTAGATAGAAATAAAAATAAAATATCTAGAAAACACTCCCCTTTTCCGTTGGATCCTTTACTTCTCCACGACACTCTTGTTTTTTAATAAAATTTAAAAAAATATTTTTTTTAAATAAAAGTAATTTTACAAAATTTTCAATTTCAATAAATAAAACTTATCTGTATAATATTACAAAGTATTTGATAAAAATTTTAAAAAACTATTTTTTATGCATAAAATAATATTTATTTATATACTACTTAATATTTAAGATTACAAGTATATTGCGTGTAAGTACAACTTCTTAAATCTCATATAAGTAACTATAGATAAACATAATTAAATATAGAATGTACATCTCATTTTAAATACAAAAAATCTAAAATATAATTAAAAAAATTATAGATTTCTAACATAATACTTAATTATTATTTTTATAAAAAAATATATTATTGAAACAAAATAAAATT